ACTCAAGGACCGAGTCCTAATCGAAGTCCCTATTTACAAAGTCAGGACCGAAAGGATCGGACTTTTAACAGCCCTACCCATGTATATGTATGTGATTGGATATTATGATAATATCCAATCACATTACATCGTGCTACGTTATTTTTTAATAACGCGATTGTTGATTGTTTTGATCGCGTCACAGAGATTATTAGTCAATTAAATTATACAAATATGATCAACCAGAAAAAATTTTTTTCTTCAAACTTTTTCGAATTTTTCTGATAATGATTACGAGATCTTGAAAGAAGAGAATGATAGGTGGAAATAGAGATACTATAGGCGATGGTCCTAACCGCTTCCTTGACATGTTTTCGTTCGTAAAAAGTGATTTATATAATCACAACTATGAATTTTTTTTTTCTGAAATTTCATACGGTCCTTTTTCAGTAAATAACGAAGATCATATTGGGGATAATTTCTTAAGATTAGCAAAATTCGGAAATAAAAACATGGCCAAAGATTTAGCTAATAAAATGAGGTTGGAATATGAGAAAAACATGTTTACTATTTCTGAAAGAGAAGGGATAGGAGTTAGACACTTTATAGAGTTTGAACACCCTTATAGAGTTTGAAACACCTTTATAAAACATTTTATAGACCTTACACCCTATAAGTATAATTTAATTGCACAAATAAATTATTTTTGCTAAATGCCAAAATACTAGAACACTAAACTATTAGAATACTAAAACACAAATATATGACTTCAATTGTGGCCAATTTAAGAATGAAAAAAAAACCAGAATCCAATAATATTAAAATGGCGCGGAAGTAAGACAAATCTTAAATATTTTTTTTTTATATCGGCACAGCACTTATTATTGATAAATATTGTTCTTTTTTTAAAAAAAAATTTTCTCATGTTCATTTCGAATAGTTTCGTCAACATGAAAGCTCTTAGCTTGAGTTTTTTTGAACTCTTTGTCGAAACATTATCTTTACGCGGTGGCAAAACAAGTAAGTACCTTTATATATCATTTTAACATATTTTTTTTGTTTATTTATTTATTTATATTTATATATTTATTTAAATTTAGTCTTTGGGATAATAACTGCTGTATTTTATGGACGATGATGATTGGTTGGTAACCCAGCCGGTACGGCTGGTTTACCGAACGATCAGA